GTCGTCGTCGTAGTAGTAGTATAGTAGTAGTAGTAGTAGTAGTAGTAGTAGTAGTAGTAGTAGAAGTAGTAGTGTTCTTGGTTCTTTTTGTGCTGCTGGCAGCAGTGCGCGCGGGCGACGAAGGCGGCGACCAGGACGGCCACGAGCCGAGTGCAGTGGTCCTGCATCAGAATGTGGCTTCTTAATCTACGCCGGTTTTGTGCGACTTTTTGTGCATTGTTGCTGGCCAGGGCTCCCACGTCTTGATGTTGAAGAAGAAGAGGAGGAGGAAGAGGAAGAGGAAGAGGAAGAGGCAGAAGAAAAGAGGAAGAATAAGCATAAGAATAAAGGACAATAACAATATAAGAAGAAGCAGAAGAAGGAAAAAGAGGAAGAGGAAGAGGAAGAAGAAAAAAAAAGACGAAGAAGAAACATATGACAATGGAGAAGAAGAAGGAGGAGGAGAAGAAGATACAGACAAAGACGAATATGAAGACGAAGAAGAAGAAGAAACAGAAGCAGAAGGAGAAGCAGAAGCACAAGAAGAAAGAAGAAGAAGAAGAAGAAGAAGAAGAAGAAGAAGGAGAAGGAGAAGAAGAAGAAGAAGAAGAGGAAGAGGAAGAGGAAGAGGAAGAGGAAGAGGAAGAGGAAGAGGAAGAGGAAGAGAGGGGGGGGCCCCGGATCCGCTTGGCTTTGAAAAGGACAATTGTGATCCTTTGTTTTTCCCCAGATAGCGAAGCTATGGGGTTCTTACTTCAAATAATAGTGAGTTGCCCGTGCGCGCTTTCGAGACAGGTTGCTGGTGCTGGGTGCCGGTGCTGGTGCTGGTGCTGGTACCTGGTGCCGGTGCAGTTTCCCGCCAGAGTGTCCTACAAGGGTGTCTCGTAAGAGTGTGGATCAAGAGTGTCCCACAAGAGTGTGTCCTACAGGAGTGCCCCACAAGACTTTTCCACAAGAATTTCCGGCAAGAGTGGCCGACAAGATTGTCCTACAAGAGTGTCCCACAAGAGGTTCTTACAAGGGTTTCCCGCAACATGTCCGAGTGTTTTATAGAAGTGTCCTACACTACTGGCAACAGTGTCCTACAAGAATGTCCGACAGGAGTGTCCGACAAGAGTGTCCCACGAGAGTGTCCCACAAGAGTGGCGCGCAAGAGTGTTATATAGAAGAGTGAGGGGCGTTTTAGAAGTGGCAACTTGTAGCACACATGTAATGCGGGAAGAAGCCGTCAGAAATGGCAAATTTAGCTGTGGCCTCAAAACTGGCCACTGGGTACAAATGCAGATGGCAGCTTCTGGTAGACAAGGAATGCGGGAAGCAGGGCCACTGGGTAGTACAAATGCACTACGGGTAGCGGGTCGTGGCAGGTGCGGCCTGTCAGTGGTAGTAGGTGTGGCAGGTGCAGTTGAGCGAACAAAGAGATACATATTTACACAGCTGTAAGTGGTCACTGGTCAGTCTATACTGCGTGCTTTGTCAATCCAGGATCCGGGCAGCGCCAAAAGCTCCAAAATCTTACCCATAAAGACACAACAAGATTGCGTTCACAAGAACTTCACAGATAGAATGGAGTGCAAATTTGATGTGGGTGGCGTTTTTGTTCACCCTCTCAAATTTGTGGATCAGCGGTCTAACTTTCCGTCCGGCAATATAGTATGACACAATACCCTGAAGAGTTCGCTGGGGTCCGCCTTGGAGGCCACGCCGCGCACGGGTGGTCTATATTGGCACCACCGTGCGGGTGCTACAGGCCCAAACACTGGGCCTGCCACGCTGTAAGGGGCCCAGGTCCGGAGTGCCAGCGACTGGGGAACCGCCAGCGGCATCAGCCCGGACTGTCTACAGGCCGCGGCTGGAAGCAATCACGGTGAGTCGTTTGATACTTCCAAATTGCCGGGCTTCCGATTCACCTCCTCTTGCTTGACAGGAGTGATGATGGCGTGGAGAGGAACTTGGCTCAAAAGTATCGGCTGAACAGAGAGTGGGGGCGTGGATTAGTGTGGTGTGAAGTTCCCAGTCGTTTGTCAGGATTGATCAGCGCTAGAGGTTGCCACCCGACATTGGATCTTTTTGCATGGCTTTGTGATTGAATCTCCAAGCCCTCATCTGGGGCCAGCAGCCGGGAGCTGCCGGCGCCGCAATGTCTACAGACCACGGTTGCAAGTTTTGTTGGGTTTCTTTCTTCTCAATGGTCTGGCTCTGGATCGGCGTTGTTATGCGGGCGCTGCTGCTGTACTGGTGCTGGTGCAGGCGCTGGCTTTGGATCGGCGTTTTCGTTTTGCGGGTGCTGCTGCCGTGCTGGTGCCGTACTGGTGCTGGTGCTGGCTCTGGATCGGCCTTTTCGTTTTGCGGGTGCTGCGGCCATGCTGGTGCTGGTGCTGGCTTTGGATCGGCGTTTTCGTTTTGTGGGTGCAGCTGCCGTACTGGTGCTGGCGCAGGTGCTGGCTCTGGATCGGCGGTTTTGTCTTGCGGGTGCTGCTGCCGTGCTGGTGCCAGCGCTGGCTTTGGATCGGCGTTTTCGTTTTGCGGGCGGTGCTGCCGTACTGGTGCAGGTGCTGGGTCTGGATTGGCGCTTTGGTTTTGTGGGTGCCGCTGCCGTACTGGCGCAGGGACATCGTGTCATGCCAGGGTTGACATCATGTCATCCTAGGGATGACATCATGACATGCTAGGTAGGGGTGACATCATGTCACGCCAGGGTTGACATCAGCATGTCATGGCAGGGATGACATCATCTCATGCCAGGGATGACATCATGTCACCCGAGGATGACATCAGTCATGCCAGGGATGACGTCACGTCAAGGCAGGGATGACATCATGTCATGCAGGGATGACATCGTGCCATGCCAGGGATGACATCATTCATGCCTTGCCAGGCATGTCGCGCCAGGGATGACATTATGTCATGCCAGAGATCATCACGTGACAGGGATGACATCATGTCTTTGCAGGGGTGACATCGTGTCATGCCAGGGATGACGGCAGGGATGACATGCGTGAGCGTTTTACCCTACACACTCGCTACCTGTATCTCTTGTTACCCCTTGTCAGTCTTCCGCTTATGCAGAAACTGATGCCCCATGCGAGCTGAGCCTACGTCCAATTCCTGCAGAGTTAGGGGCTCGTTCCAAAATACCAGACAGGTTCGCTGACACCAACAGCAAGGTCTGTAAGAACCACTTACAGAACTACTACAGAAGTCTGCCTTGCGTTTGGGAAGTCCTTCACACCACTGCTCAATCGCAGGACCCGAAACATTGGGCCACTCAAACCCTGCTAGTCAGAAACCTATTCACTTTTAGAAGGGCGCAAGGTGGGGTCGAATCTGCTTAATCCCGCGTCGCGACTAAAGCAGAACGGTGCCGGTGCGGCTGCAGGGTGCTGCTGGCAGATGTGTGGCCGTGTGCGCGGTGCCGCATCAGGGCTCGTTTCGGTTCGGAGCTTGGATGTGCTTAGAGCCTGCGTGAATGGTCCTGCTGCAGGGCGTTGCTGTAGTGTGGCCGCGTGCGCTATGGAGCTTGGGTGCTGGTGCCGTTGCAGAGTGCTGCTGCTAGATGTGTGGCCGCGTACGCTTTCGGAGCTTGGGTGATGGTCCTGCTGCAGGGTGCCGCTGTAGTGTGGCCGCGTGCGCTATGGAGCTTGGGTGATGGTGCTGCTGCAGCGTGCCGCTGCCACATGTGTGGCCGTGCGTGCCTGCGTGCGCTTTCGTGCTTGGGTGCTGGTGCCATTGCAAGTTGCCGCTCAAGGCGCTCCTGCGAGATGTGTTCTTGAAAGTTGGGTGGTTGTGCCGCTGCAGCATGCTGCTGCTACCCGCAAATAGCTTGGCTATTTTGGGTCTATGCAGGCGAAACTTTTACGTAGAAGTAAGGCCGCTGAGTATCGCTTGGAAAATTTATAAATGCGCAAGTCAGGGCATCCCAGCCTTGGTTGCACTGGGGTACCAGATGATAGGTGGGAAGCTTTGAGTGAACATTTGAAGTTCGTTCCCTCCACTTTGAGTCGGCTGCGCACACATCATAAAACGGGGAACTGCAGATTTTTTGCATGGATGAATCTTCAACATCCTTAATTGTACTTTTTGTTCGCAAGGCAAAGCACCACCCATGCACACGAAAGGTGCTTGCGCTGCAAGCATACAGTGTACAGGCAGCCGCGCATTTGGTTGTAGAGTAAGAAATGACAACAAGTTTTATCCAAGTTATGTTGGAATTCAAAAGCCTTCTTCGAAAACCAAGACAATGTTTGCATGTTTGATGTTGCTTGTGTCACGCAATGTGCAATCTTTGCCTTACATGCAAACCAATGCGTGTTAGTGCTATCAAAATGTGGGATGAATACGAACCACAGTCAGAATCGATCCACTCGATTGCACATGAAGATGTCACAAGTGGTTGACAAACTTACCTTTAAAGTCTGATTCCAAGCATTGTTTTTGAGAGGATGCCCCCAACAAACCATGGGATTCGTGCACATACCCAGCTTGTGGGGAGAAATGCAATGAGATATGGTGTGCCACAACCTCCGCAATCTTTTTTTGAACTCCTTCAAATCTCAGAACGACTTCTGCTTGGGTCATTTTTTTGGGAGCGTTTCAGAGCGAAAACGGCGCAAGGTCAGTTTCATCTATATAACATTTTTCCGAGTCAAGGTTTCTCAGACTGTTTCTATGCACACGGGTTCTTCCTTCGATATATAAACACATACATCCTGGCCTACATCCTGGACAACAATTTGACTCACTAACACCTCAAAGTTTTGGTGGACCAGCTCACATCGGTCATTTTGAAGGTTCATTGGATGCGCCTCTTTGCTACTTGTTATGTGGAAGGGTTGGCTTCAGGGAAATAGGGAAATCCTCCCCAGCCGCACTTGTGTTTCGAACCAATCTGTTGTTGTTCTTTGGCAGGGACCCCCGATTACCTCCTACGACTACGGCTTCTACCCAGCAGACATCCGGCCACCAAGGCCGGCAAGGACAGGAGGATGGGTCAGACAACGTGGGCTTAACATCCATGACTCCACGACCAATGGTTCACTTTGCATCGAGTGTTTATCGCAGAACAAGCTGCGTTTAGCCAAACTTTCAATTTTCCACCGCCCTTTTCGTTGATCCACAAACCACCTGGTGTGAATGAACAAACAGTCACGCTTTGACCGGTGGGTTCCTGATCTTTTAGATCAGCAAAAGAGCCTACTCTTTCAGCAGACTTCTTTATTCTTTCACTGGGTCGAGACACCTGGAGAGTTGGAGTTGACATAAACTTGTCCTGGAGACGTTCGCTGCGTCATGTTCAATGATCTCAACCAAAAAAGAACATCTTCCGTATATATATATATATATAGGCTATTAGGTGGTGTTGGCACATTTTGCCGATACTGGTCTTCTCCGTCCTCTGGTCAATTTTTCTGTGCAACTCGAGGAGCTTTGTCCGTCGGACCGTCGGACGATCGACGCGCGCGACTCTCGAACTTCGGATGTTGTCTGAAGTTCGGTTTTTTCCACTCAATCCTTGTTGAAGTCACCAAATTCATTCCCCACTTCTTGATTCCGATTCCGGCACTTTTGGTCGTGTGTGATCTCCATGTCCCGCTCCACTCCCGCCGCCGTCCTCGGCTCTCCACCCGAGACCGCGACCCGCCAGGTATCCCATCTCCTCCACGTGGATCTCACGGAGTGCTTCGGAGCTGCAGAAGACGTTGAAGACCTCCAAGGGCCGCTGAAGGGGGACGGCTGGCGCCTGGCCGCGCGCGCTTCCGCGCCGCGAGAGGTACCCCCACGGAGGTCCTGGAACGGAAGGAGCGGAAGGAGAGGCACCCCCCCCTACTCTCCACCCTCGTCTCTCGCCAAGCGAAGGATGGGGGGAGTTATTCGGCTGTGAACCGAGTTCTTTTTTTTGGGGGGGAGGAGGTTTCGGCCAGCGGAGACAGACACGACTTTTCATTTTGATTGAATTCAATACAACATGTGAAGACAGACAGGTGACGTACCCTGAGGATAGCCTGGTTATGAGTTAGGTCTTCCGCCTCCGGGCCCTCCGCACCTGTTGCGTCGCAATGGGGAAATCCATCTGCGACGCGGCTTGGTCCGAGTCCTTTGAGTCCTTTGTGTTGGGAAAAAAGGAGCCGAGGAAGAGGAAGAGTGGAGGTCGGTCGAGCAGGTCGAGCAGGTCGAGCAGGTTGGACCAATCCTCCGGGTTGTTGGCTGTTCCAATTGGTCGGAACCGCAGCCTTTGTGGCCCGGGAACCATGGCCGGTTTCACGCATCAGGACGAGTGCGTGAGTCCAACTGGTGGATGGTGTCACTGCACGAGACTGCAAGCTCGTTTTTTGTTTTTTCCGCCGGGGACCAGGCTGAGAAGCTGCTTCCAGCAGTCATTCTGGGTTGTAGGAGAGAAGAGTCTGTCACCTTGCACGGACACCGCAGGCCACCATGCCATCCATCATGCCGGGGATCTCAATCTCGGCGTGCTGTGGTCTCAACAGTTCGAAGGGCACAGAGAGTTGAAGTCACAGTTTAGTCGAAGTCACAGCGTCTTCAGGAAATTGGTGGTTCAATTCAATGATCAACCACTTGGAGTTGATGTGTTTGGTCGTAGGACAGGATGTAGGGCGGCTTGAAGAAAGCACCAAAGTCGTTTTTGACAGGTCGAATGGTCGTATTAGGACCCTATCATAGGGTCCCCAAACACGCCCTCCTCCTGCTTTTGTGGTAACTTTGTTTATTTGGGAGCCCACCTTCGCACCGATGTTCTTGATCGGCTGAGTCACAAAGCCTCCAGATGCGGTTTCACCAAACATTCGCCTGTGAGAAGGCTAAGGTGCTTGATTTTGTAGTGAACACTTCGAAGATACTGTAACAAAATGTTCCTGAGTCAGCTGTTGACCCTCGACCGGTCCACAATGCGGGGGCTGAGGTTTCATTCACAGATTAAAACCAATGCGAAATGCTCAGTCCCTTTGGTAAAGCTAGCCTGATGGGGTGAGGCAGGCGGCAACAGGAATTCCCCAAATGCTGGCGCCAAAAACGATCAGGCTCAAGAAGACATCTATCACAGGTTATACTGGACACAACACCAGCTTTCAGGGTCAGGATCCCCGTGGTGACCAAACAGCCGCAATGGCCGCCGGTGAAGAGGACTTTCTCCTGCGCGTGGCGCACGTGCAGCGGGTCACGTGGCCATCGTTGAAAAATTGGGACCCGAGAATAGAGGGCAAGTTTGGTCAACCTTTGTCAGGCCAAGAGCTGCCAGGGTAGTATACCTTGGCACCACTGTGCGGGTCCTCGAGACCCGCACACTGGGCCTGCCACGACGCCAGGAGCCCCAGCTTAATGGCTCAGAAGCACAGAGCCTGTTTTATATAGGTGAGGGCTGTTAGTTTGTAGAGGAGGATCCCGCCTCCCGTCTCCAACAGCAAGATCCAAGATCGTGGGCACTACTGGACCTCAACAGCAAGCGCTCAACAGCAAGCTCCAGATCGCAGTGGGCACTCCCAGGCCATAACAGCAAGCTCCAGATTGCAATGGGCACTCCCAGGAGTCAACAGCAAGCACCAGATCACAGTGGGCACACCTGGGCCTCAAAAACAAGCTGGAGAAGCTCCAGATCGCAGGGGGCACTGCCGGACCTCAGCAGCAAAGTCGAGGTGGCAGTGGGCGTAAGCTCCAGATCGCAATGGGCACTCCCGGACCTGCACGGCAAGCGGGCACAGAAAAAATGCTAGCACGCACGCCAACATGGACGTCAGAACACAATCCAGAACACTTACCAACTTCTATGACAGATGATGTGGCAGAGCACACCAGACTTGATGCCAGAACAGGCGTCAGAACATTGTATCAATCCGCGTGCCCGCCTTAGTCTGTCAATACATGTGCCCTGCCTTCCCCCAAATCGCCTTTCAGGGCGGGGATCACTCAAAGTAAAGTAGGGCGACGACAAAGATATCATGCCGCGACGACGAATGACAAACACCATGATGGTGATG